AAACCCCAGGGGACACGCGGGGGACAAGCCCCACCCCCGGCCCAAGAGAGGAGGTGGGGGCCAAGGAGACTTTTGACAGCCATCGATCGCCCCCGCATGTCCCCCGGCTCCCGCAGAGGCTTTAATCAGCGAGCAGAAATCAATTAGCTACCTTTAAGGAGGCAATTATTCCCGGGGTCTTTACAAGGCTGGGGAGGTGGGAGAGTATTTTGGGGTGGGGGTGCTGCTAGCTCCGTATCCCCCCTCAAAGTTTGTTGTCATTATGTCACCGGCTGTTTCCCTGGTTCTTTCCTCCATCATTTTTGTCACACCCCCCTATTCCTCATTATCTTTCTGTTTTAACAAGTGCCTAAAAATACGCCTCGCGAGGTCACGGGCTGCGTGAGTCACCATCAGCACGGGGACGGGGTGGCCCGGGTGGGCCAGGGTGACAGGGACACAGAGGGAGGACAGGCCCACGCTGGCTGCATCAGGGCACTCGCCTCACCTGGAGGGTCAGGGGACATCCCCGGTCCTGCTACTGCATCCTCATGGTGGGGACACAGCCCCAGACCACCTCACTGCCACAGGACATTGTGTCCCCTTGGCATAGCCACCACCTCAGGCCACTGCATCACTCTGGGCCACCCTGTCCTCATGGCAAGGCCACCACCCTTGGCCACCATGTCCTCGAGCTGTGTCCCTACAGCCGTGTGCAGAGCCAGGACAGCCGGAATGGATCAGCAAAGCTCCAAACTGCACATTTGGGAGCGCAGCAGCTGGGAAAGGGACAAAGGTGGGAGGTGGCAGCAGCAGTGGCTGCCGTGGTTGTGGTGGCAGTGATGGCAGCAGGGACAGCAGTGACTTCAGTGGGAGTGGTGGTGCCCACAGTGGCAGTGGTGGCTGCAGCAGTGACAACAGTGGATGTCACAGCTGCAGTGGCTGCGGCTGTGGTGGCTGCAGTGGCTGTGGTGGCTGCGGTGGCTGTGGTGGCTGCAGTGGCTGTGGTGGCTGCGGTGGTGACGGTGGCGGTGGCTGCGGCTCCGCTCGCCGCCGCTGCTCCTCTGCAAAGGTTAAGCAAACAGCAGCTCCCACAGAATCGATGCCGGCCCAGCCCTGAGCTGTTTGCTTTGCCAAGGCAGTGAGGGGGCGGGTGGGCCCTGCTGGGGACACCGGCAGCGGGGATGGGGACAATCAATGCTCCAGGGGCTGTGCCACCACCTCCCCTTGCTGTGGAACTCGTGGAGGAGGATTTGGGGAAGGGCAAGAGTGGCCAGGGCAGGGCAGGGGGCTGGTGGGCCTCAGTTTCCCCTCCTGGCATTGTGGCAGACACTGCCCACAGGGCCACGCTTGGCCAGGGGGACAGGGACAGGGACCTGCCACCTGGCCCTGCCACCGTGGCTCAGCTGGAATTAAGACACAACCAATGAATCCAATGTTGGCCCACAATGCTGAGCCTGGGGAGGGAGTGGCCGGTGAGTTTGGATGCTGTCCCCAAATTCCAGCTGTGCCCTCAGGATGGGCTCTGGAAGGGACATGGAGGGGGACATTCAGCCGTGGGCAGGAGGGCCAACTGCCTGCTGGCCCTGAAGGAGAAGTGGAGGCTGGTGGTGAGCTGGGTGCTGGGTGCCAGCTGGCTTCCAGGCACTGAGGGGACCCGTGGGACACCCACGGGTGGCTGGACGGGTGGGTGGCTGCGGGGTGGGCATCCCAGCACGTCCCAGCCACTGTCCCCGCAGGCAGGGCAGGGCAAGGTGTGGGTGGCACATCCCCCGACCCTGTCCCCATCACGCTGCCTCTCATTACGGACACGGCGGGGCCCGTCACACTCCCACCGTGCGGCAATTAAGGGCTGCCAGCGCCGGTAGTTAATTAGCGCTGGCAGTGAGTGTTGGGAGGCGGCGGAGGGGACGGGCTGGGGACGTGGGCCATGCAGTGACAGTGACACTGGGTGACACCCCGTGGGCCATGCAGTGACGGTGACACTGGGTGATACAGTGTGGCCCCGCAGTGACGGTGACAGTGGGTGACACCCCGTGGGCCATGCAGTGACAGTGACACTGGGTGATACAGTGTGGGCCCGCAGTGACAGTGACACTGGGTGACACCCCGTGGGCCATGCAGTGACAGTGACACTGGGCGATACAGTGTGGCCCCGCAGTGACGGTGACAGTGGGTGACACCCCGTGGGCCATGCACTGACACAGCATTGTGTGACAGCCCCAGCACCAGGCACTGACGGTGACTCTGTGTGACAATCCACGGGAGCTGCAGTGACACTGCGTGGCACCCGGCGGCCCCACAGTGACAGTGACACTGTGTGCACTGCGCGGTGACAGTGACACCGTGTGACACTCCAGGGAGCAGCAGTGAAGCTGTGCAGCACCGCGGGGCTGTGAGACACGAGTGGGGCTGTGCAGCCATGGTGACACTATGCGACACCCCAGGGAGGCGTGCAGTGACACTGACACTGTGCCACACCCCGGGGCCGTGCAGTGACAGTGACACCGGTGACACCAGTGCCATGCAGTGACACCACGCTCAGGCTTCCCGAGGGGACATCGGACCCCACCCTCTGCCCCAGTGGTGGGCCAGGGAAGGGGGGCTCCAGGAATGGGGTACACGGGGAAGGGGGGCTGCAGGAATGGGGTACACGGGGAAGGGGGGCTGCAGGAATGGGGTACATGGGGAAGGGGGGCTGCAGGAATGGGGTACCCGGGGAAGGGGGGCTCCAGGAATGGGGTACACCGGGGAAGGGGGGCTCCAGGAATGGGGTACACGGGGAAAGGGGGGCTCCAGGAATGGGGTACACGGGGAAAGGGGGGCTCTGAAGAAGGAAGGGGTTACCCCAGGGAGGGGTGCTCTGAGGAAGGGGTTACCCCAGGGAAGGGGGGCTCCAGGAATGGGGTACACGGGGAAGGGGGGCTCCAGGAATGGGGTACCCCAGGGAAGGGGGGCTCCAGGAATGGGGTACACGGGGAAGGGGGGCTGCAGGAATGGGGTACACCAGGGAAGGGGGGCTCCAGGAATGGGGTACACGGGAAAGGGGGGCTCCAGGAATGGGTTACCCCAGGGAAGGGGGGCTCCAGGAATGGGGTACACGGGAAAGGCGGGCTCCAGGAATGGGGTACACGGGGAAGGGGGGCTCTGAGGAAGGAAGGGGTTACCCCAGGGAGGGGTGCTCTGTGAAGGGGGGTGCTCCAGGGCTGGAGCTCCGAGAAGGAGGTTTCAGGAGTGGGGAAGGGGATGCTCCGAGGAGAGGGGGTGCCCCAGGTAGGGCTGCTGCGGTTCGGAGGGGGTGCAGGAACAGGGGTGCAGACCCACGGGTCTCGGGAGCCCACGTGGAGCCCGCTGTGGGGCAGAAGCTGTGCCACAAGGGCTCAGCCAGGGTGTCCTGCAGGTCCCCTCGGTGTCCTGCACGGCCACTGATCGCCGATAGCGCCCGGCCCGGGGAGCGGAACCATCTGCCACCGACAGGGAACGGCTGAGGATCGGCCACACGGCCACTGCCATGGCCACGGGTGGCCGTGGGCTTGTCCCCGAGGGGGGGTGGGATGGGCAGGAGTGGGACTGGTGGTGCTGAGGCAATCCTGGGGCTCCCATGGACACAACTCCGTATCCAAGCTCCACAGCCCTTCTCCCGTGGGTGCCAACGCAGCCCACGCAGGGGGCTCAGCCCCTAGGTCAGCCCAGGACCCCCCAATCCGTGCCAGGCTGTGGGCAGCCCGGTGCCTCACCGTGCCCCGTGGGCAGCCCGGTGCCTCACCGTGCCCCGCTAAACTCGTTAGAGGCGGGCGAACGTCAGCCGGGCGGGAGCGAAGCGCCAAATGCGATTATTGCTCCATCCTTCCAGCCCGGCCCCATTTATCGCGGAGGAGGGCGGGAGGGAGGCGGAATTGGCTCTTATCTCGGCTGAGAAATCCCTCTCCAGCCCTGATTTATGGCTGCGCACAATTCTGGAGCGTTTAGAGCACGGAGGGGTCAGCACCGAGTGCAGCTGTAAGAGTGGGGGTGGCCGGGTGGGCAGTCCGGCTCAGGGGGGCTCCCTGGGGCTGCACAGGGACCACCCATGGGTGTCCAGGTGGGTGAGACATGGCACCTGTGGGTGCACACTGGGGTTCAGCGGAGAATGGAGTGCCTGGCCCAAAAAAGGGGAATGTGCTGGCAGGGGACACCTGGGAAGGTGTCAGGGGACAGGCAGGAGGGTGGGAACACCCTGGAGGATCCCAGGGATCACCATGCGCAGGGAGGTGGCAAGGGGCTGCCAGCACCCACCTTTCTCAAAGTGTGGGGACAAGCAGTGGGGACAGGGGTACCCCAGAGGGAACGTGCACCCACCTTTCTCAAAGTGTGGGGACAGGGGTACCCCAGAGGGAACGTGCTGGCCACAGAGCCAGAGCAGGGCCAGGATCACATCCCTGCAAGCCAGATCCATCCCGTGGGGTGCCCCACTGAGCCACGGCCCCCCCAAGGAAGGCCTGGCAGGGCTGATGCTCCAAGCAGCTCCTGGAGCAGCTCAGGGATGTTTACTGGGAAAAGCAGGAGCGGCCAGCAGCTCTTCCTGTGTGTGCTGAACTTTACAGAGCGCAGCATAGGAACAGCCTGGGAGCAGGCTGGGAGGAGCCCCGGGATGCAGAGCAGCTGCTCTTCAGTGTTTTATTAAAACAAAAGTGAAGAGCCAGCACCCGCCTCGCCCAGGCTCGGCTCTCCCGCCGGGAACTGCCGCCGAAGGAAGCTCAAACAGCAGGAAATGAGCTGGAATGAGGCACAGCCCAGGTCTCAGCCCGCTTCAGGATGGATCAGAGCCTTGCATCCAAAGCCAAGGCTGACCCACGAGTGATGGACACAGAAGCAGAGGGCAGGGGGGAGAAGCAGCCAGCTGAATACGCGATCCATGTGAACGAGGTGCTGCCCTCCCCCTCACTGATTTAACAAGTTTCCATTAAATCAAATGAAAGATGGGAAATCCCAAGTCTAAATTTGGATTAGGAGCTATGAGGAATCACCCAAGAGACACTGGAGGCAATAACAGGGCCTGAGAAGGCACCCAGCTGTATTGAGAAGATTGTCCTGGAAGACATTAAAGTGAGATCGTACCCGATTAAACTGAGATTGTTCCAGATTAAAGTGAGATCGTCCCAGATTAAAGTGCCTCAGCTCACTGAAGTCCCACAATAGAGACCCACGTGGGGACAAGGGTGTCACTGCACAGGCACAGCTGGTGGGTGAGAACCCGAGCAGGGAGAATGTGCCTGAAAAAACCTCTGGCTGTGTTCACCTTGGGAAGTGTGCAAGGAGAGCCTCACGCCGCTGTCTGCATTCAGCTGGCGAAGCTCATTAACAGAGGTGGCCTTTCACTGCCCTTTTCAAACGGGGAAATTCAGGCCCCTTCCCTGCCTAAGAGAAAAGGTGAATTAAGAGATGAAATGGCGGATGAGGAGGAACAGCAGCCCCCCGAGGCCGGCAGCAGCCGTGCCCACCGCCAGCCGTGCCCAGAGGAAATCCAGGGAATCCTCGAGGCGGGTGTGCAGCTGCAGGACCTGCCGGCGGGTGCTCTCCCAGTCCCCGGAGTTGTCGATGACGTGGGTCGCCCACCTGAGCTTCTCCTCCAGGGGCAGCTGGCAGCTGATCCGAGCTTCGGCCTCGGCTGCACCCAGCCCGCTCCTCTTCATCAGCCGCGCCAGCTGCGTTTGGGGGTCACTGCCGGGAGAGCACGGGGGGAGCTGGGGCGGGGGAAACGGGGTCTGCCTTCCTCAGGCAGTCACTGGATCAAGTGGGAATGAGAGAGGCGCCCCTTTGGCATTTCTGACACTTGGATCAGCACTGCCCGGGCCGTTCTCAGCATTCACACAGCCTGTAACAGCGCCCCAGAGCCTGCCCTGAGAGAGTACGGGTTGTGGAGGGCCCAAAGGCAGAGAATTCCCCTTTGTGATGGTTCCAGGGAATGCTCTATAAAGGGAGGTTTTGCTTCTCTCAACAGGCTTTGCACCAGGGCTGAGGCTGAACCTTCACCAGAGTGGAGGCACATCATGGTCCCCTCTGAGAGAGGTGGCTTTGTCCCTGTCCTCGTGGCTCCCAGAGCACTTACCAATAAACCAGCACTGTGTATTTCATAAACCTGGTCAATCCACGGGTCTCGAAGAGCAGAGGGATGTCGAGGATCACGTAGCGGTAGCCTGTGGAAATGGCAACATTCCCCAAAAAAGGGAACAGTGTTAACCCCCATTCCCAAATCCCTTGTGCTGCACACACACCATGGCCAGGAGAAGCAAAGCAAGCAGGAGCTCTACAGCTCCACGATCACAGCCAAGCAGAGCCTGCTGGCCCTCCTCCCTCTTGTAGGGAGGAAATGGTTTAATTCCAAGTTTCCAGAGGAAAAAAAAAATCAACCCTAACCTGGCTGCTTCAGACCAAAGGTGAAACTGCAGAAATATAATGAGGAGCTGAAAAGAGGAGCTGAAATGAGAGCAGCAGTGCCTGGCTGGCAAGAGCAGCAGCTGTGCACTGTGCTGGCCTCTCCCGGGAAGCAGTGCCCACAGCAGGATCTGCTCTCCACTCCTTCTCTTGTCCAAGACTTCACCAGGCTGCAGCCATCTGAGCCAACATTTTCGAGCTCAGCTTTCCTCCCTTTATGAAAAGCTTTGGCTAAACAGCTCAATTTTTCCAAGGAGAGCAAGGAAATCCCTGCAGACCTCCTGCAGCTGTGACAGTGAAATGGGGGGGGAACCTCCAGGCACAGCCCAAGGGCTGAACTTTCACCAAAACTGGCTGAGTTTAAAACCTCTGACACCACAGGGAGCAGAGCTTCTCACAGTCAATCACTGTCCCCCTGGTTCTCTCCCCATGCCTCTGCCCTTGGCCAGTGTTTGGGGAGGTGAGAAATGCCCTGCTGAGTTTGGGGGAGTGGGTGAGGGGAGGGCAAAGCTCTAACTCAAGACTTCACTCTCCTGTGCGTCATGGGGACATGTCAGGTTTTGTTGATGTCCCCTCTTTAGAAGCCCCCTAAAACGGAGCTGCCCACAGCGAGTAAAGTCTTGACAAAGACATCATCTTCCAAGGAGCCACCATTCCACCAGCATCCACATTCTGCCTTGAGAGGCTTCTGGCTGCCCTCTGATTTGATCGATCCGAGCTTTCCTTACACAGCGATCCTCAGAGACAACATCCAGCTATCCCAAATCATTAAATCCTGACTAATGAGGACAAAGCAGCCTGCTGAAGCCACACAGGGCCAGGACAGCATCCGCCTCCTCAGCCCGCAGCCCCGGGTTCAAGGCTCCATCTCTGGCTCCTGGCATTCCTGCCTGTTGCTTCTTCCTTTGTGCTTCCTCCTCCTCCTCACCCCGTGGTGCCCCGGCCTGCTCAGCTCTCACAGGGCTCAGCTCTGATAAGCACCACGAACCCAGACTGACTCTATTATGGCATCTGTCTGTCTGTACGGAGAACAGCTGCTGATCTTATCTGGCATTTCTCCAGCCCAGCCTGACAGCTGCATTTGTTCCGTTTATCGGGGGAACGCGGGACTTTGGAAGCCACAGCTGTCAGCCCATTCCTCACCTTATCGACACTCAGAGGGCTCCACAGCCTGCAGTGAAGCTGGAGCAGGCTGGGGGCAGGGAGGGATATTTGGCAGTTTCAGGAGTGTGGCATTATCTGGTAGGTAATCTCGGCAAAGCTGCTCTCAGGCCCTACAGATACACTTTAAACCGCAGAGGAAAGCGGTGAAGGGCAGCAGTGAAAGGCAGGAGTGATTTGGGAATGAATCCTCCAAACACTGACACCAAAGGCCACTGCAAGCAGAGCACAAAGGCTGTCACTCAATGTCCCTTCCCTATCTCTGTCATCCCTGTCCCTCTCCCCACATTCAAACCAAAGGCAGAGGGAGCAGGGATGGCTCCTGCCCAAGCAGGAGTCCTGGCAGGCTGAACGAGGCCTCTTACCGAGTACAAAGTACTTCAGGACCTGCTTCAGCATCTCCTTCAGGATCTCAGGGTGGGTGATGGAGTTGAGCAGCCGCCGTTTCTCTGGCTGGGAGAAGATAATGCTTCCGAGAGCCTCGCGATTTATCTCGCCGTTCTCCAGCAGGATCTCGGGGCCAAAGTGCTGCAGGATCTGCTGGTGGGCCTTGGAGTGGGGCTGCACCACTGAGGACATCAAACAGCCGGGGTGAGAGCCAGTTTTACACACAGCAAGGTTTGCATCAGCAGGGTGTTTGCCCATTCACTAACGGAGCACATCTGCCTCCAGCACATCTGTCCTGGCACCACATCTGCACAGCCCTGCCAGCCCAAGGTCCCTTGGAGGGCTGACACCTGGAGGATGGAAGTCCTGCAGACATTAATCCAGCACCACAACCCTTCTGGCACGTGCTGCTGCTCAGGGGGAGCAGTCAGCAGGGCGGGCAGGACACGGTGATGGCCCCACGCCAAGGCTGGGGGAGCAGCTGGCCTGAGCCAATTCCCACCAGGGATTGAGCAGGGAGATCCTAAAGGAACCAGGAGCAGCTGAAAACTTCAGCACTGTGTGGATACTCACTGCTGTAACTTGGCTCTGGATGCTGCTGAGGTGTTTTTTTTTTACTGTCTTTCACATCAGTCACTAAATCCTTCAGGAAAATGAACAGAAAAATCTTCTAAAAGCTCAATCCCCAGTCAGCCCTTGCAGGGGCTCTGACGTTACAGGAGTGTATAACTTTAAAGCCACCAACAAAGGGGATGAAGCAATAAAACCATAATTAAGCTCCAGCTGAGGGTAACCACAGCGAAGGACAGACCACAGATAATCATCTCTCCCAAATCCAGGAACATTGCCACAGGTTGTAACCTCAGGCCAACCTCATAAAAGTCTTTAAGACCAATTTTTTTCTGCCATGGAATATCACATGGAGGCAGTTTCAGGACGGGTGAAATCTATATAGTAAACAAACACATATAAAAAAGGAATTGGTGTAAAATAAAGTGATTGGCAGAAAACTTTCACAGAGTATCTGTAGTGTTTTCCTACCGTCTCTGAGGGCTTTTAGCACCTCCAGCAAATTTCCTGCACCTCCAGGGGAATTACAGTGCAATAAAATGTTAAAGCATCACAGCTTTGAGTGGCTACACAGTAAGTTCTTCACCAAACAGAAAAGCTCAGGCACTTCTAAATGACACCATTGCTCAGCAGCAGACCTAAACCTGCTGCATGCAGGATCTGCAGCCCTCAGAAACCCAGACTAGTCTGGGGGGAAAGCTCACCCAGTGCCACCCCCTGCCCTGGGCAGGGACACCTTCCACTGTCCCAGGCTGCTCCCAGCCCCATTCAGCCTGGCCTGGGGCAGCCAGAGGTGCTCTGGGCAACCTCTGCTCTCCTGGTTATCCTGGTGGGGTAAGGGATTAACACCTCACAGGTAATCAGGGAAAACAAGGTCTGCTCTGGTCCTACTGAGTCAACAGATCTGGGATTCTGAGGTTTTTCTCCAGCCCAAGCCTTTTTGGTTTTGTTTTTTTTTTTTTTTTTTTTGAGGTCTGATCTCTCAGTATCACCAGAAAAACAACATCCAGCACAGAGAGACATTCTCTTATTCTCTTTCAGCCACCAACATAACTGAGTGACAGGATGGGTATCCTGGGGCTTAGGGGGCATGCTGGACTAGCCAAGGGATCCCACTGTACAGGGAACCACATTTATTTTTGCTTTCAAAGCCGGGAAGCATCACACACCATCCAGGGGATGGAAACTCAGAGTACAATTTCCCCACGGTGTTTATTAGGTCATGATCTTCTTTCTTTTCTTTATTAAAAATACATCCCGGCTCCAATTCCCCCCAGGGCAGCGCAGCCCCGCGGACTGGGAAGCGGGAGGAAAACCTTCTCCGATGTGCCCAGAGCACCCTCTGCCGTCAGCGGTCCCGGCAGCGATCCCGGTTGTCTGGGAAACTCGGGAAGCTCTGGAAAACTCACCCTGCCTGGCGATAACATCGGCATCGATCACGGCACAGCCCAGCTCCCGCAGCACGGCCACCACTGTGCTCTTCCCAGATGCGATCCCACCCGAGAGTCCCACCAGGAACATGGTGCTCTGCAGGGGAAAGAGGAGAGTGGAAAACATGCCAGGACAGGACGTTCTCTCCGTGCTGAGCGCATCAAATATTTAATCCCAAACAGGCAACTTCATTCAAAGCTCATTTTCCTGCTTTCTCAGGGTGTCACTGAGACATCAGCAGGATTTTGGCACTCTCTGAGCTGGATTAAAGTGTGTCCCTGGTGGCTGTGCCCCTTGAGGCAGCCCTAAGTTCCTCCAGCTGGTTTATCTGCAGCTCCAGCACTCCTTCCCCTTTAGCATCTCCACTCATCAAACCACAGTCCCATCTGCAGCACCTGAGGAATCATGGAATCGTTTGGATTGGAAGAAATCTTAAAGCAAATCCAATTCCACCTCCTGGTATGGGCAGGGACACTTCCCACTGTCCCAGGGTGCTCCAAGCCCTGTCCAACCTGGCCTGGAACACTTTCAGGGATGGGGCGGACACATTTTCTCTGGGCAACCTGTGCCAGGGCCTGCCCACCATCACAGGGAGAAATTCCTTCCCAATATTCCATCTGGCAATGGGAAGCCATTTCCCCTTGTCCTGTCACTCCAGACCCTTGTCCAAAGTCCCTCCTGGAGTCCTTTAGGCACTAAGGGGCCCTGAGGTCTCCTTGGATCCTTCTCTTCTCCAGGTGAACACCCCCAGCTGTCCCAGCCTGGATCCAGAGCAGAGGGGCTCCAGCCCTTGATGCATCTCCATGGCCTCCTGTGGACCTGCTCAGAGAAATCAGGGAATTTCTGGCAGGTTTGTTGAGGGTGAGCAGTGGAAAAAGGCAGAATTCAGACAATGTCTGAGCCAGGACTGGGACACAGGAGGCCCCAGAGGGAGAGCCCTGCTCGATCCCTGCAGCTCAGCCACCTCTGACACCACCAGACACTCAGTGAATCCCATTCCCACACCACTGGCAGCCCTAAGGACAGGGACATCACAGCTCTGAGGTGTCAAACACGGCCCTGAGCACACATCTCTGCTTGCCCCTGGCCTCCAGGCCGGGAGGGGGTGGGTAACACAGCTCCCACAGCTCCTACACAGACACCTCCCTGCTCAATCCACACCCTGCAATCCTCTAAATCCTGCTTGTGTGCTCTCAAACCCAAAAGATTCAGCCTCATGGAGAGCTGAGGGGACTAGGAGTATCTGCATCCCAAAAATCCAACAGCCCCAGCAGGCTGGATGCAACCCCAGTGTCCCTCCTGCAGCCCAGAGTCCTGCAAACCCCCAGGGACAGCAGCACTGCGACTAGAAAACAACAAAAAACACACTTCAGCCACAATTCAGTCCTACAAACAGGACCCAAACCCACAGCTGGGGGGGAGGAGGGGGTGGGCAAGGCCTGGGGCAGCTGGAGGCAGCTCAGCACAGGGAAGGGGCAGAGCTGGAGCAGAAGCAGCAGCAGTGCTCCTTCCCTTTTTTCCCTTTTCCAGACCCCAAGGGACAGCTCCAGCAGCAACAAGGGGGGATCCAAAGGAATCACAGAGGGCCAAAATGTTAATAGCACCCAGCAGCGACTGGGGAGGCTGCTGTACATCCCAGCAGGACCTGGCCCCCACGGGGAGCCCCTCATGTCACAGGGGGCTTGGAGTGACAGAGGAGCTATTTATTCACCCCAGCAGGTTAAAATCCTGCCCTCCCACCACGACTTTATACTCCCACTGCTGCAGCCTGTGAGGGACAACACTGCAGCAGGAGGAGCTGGATCATGACAGTGGAGGCTCCTGCTTTGTAAAAATACACTGAAAGAAATACACTTTGTAAAAATACACTGAAAACCCTCCTGCCCTTGTAAACACAGGGCTTTAACTGCAGTAAGCCCAGCGTTCTGGCCTCCAGCCCCAGCTGGGATTGCTCCCAAAACCTGCTATTTCTGTCCCTCCTTTTCATGCCTCCACCACAGGAATCACTGCAGGGGGAAGCAGCCCTTGGAAGGGTTATCCTGGAAACCAGGGCCAGCCAGGGATCTGAACACTTGTGCTGTCCAAGGGCTGCACAGATCTCAGGCATCAATATTTAACAAGCTCTGGTTTGAACTGCACACGAGGGGAGAGGGCAGCCCGCTCCTGCAGATGTTACTGGCAGGAGCCAAACACGGTTTTCCCCTAAATAGATAATTTTGGGGGGATATATTTGGCCTGTTCCAACTAAACCAGACATGGGGGAAAAAAACAGAACACAAGCCACAGAGGCTGGTCAGGCTCTGTTCCTGCAGTGAGGAATGGGGAGATGCACCCAAGGCACTGAGGAAACTTTTTTTCAAATAATTAAGTGCCCAAAAATGCCCGTGTCCCAATTGCTGGGGGTTTGGAGCACAGCATGAGCTGCCAGCCTCAATCCATCCATCCATCAGGCAAGCACAGGGACTGGCGATGAAGCCGGACCGTGTCCTCCAGCACCATCCTCACCCGGCCTCCTCGTCTGTGCTGAGGCTGAGAGCGCTGGTGTTTGGCTGAGGTGGCTGCAGCCGAAGGGGAGAATCACGGATACATCGTTAACTGGCGGGGAAGGAGCCGCCGCCACAAACACCTCACGGACCCCGCGGGGCCGCCATGGCCGCCGCCCTCACCACTCACCCTCCGCCCGGCTTCACACGCGCCGCAGTGTCCCGCGCGCCTATTGGCTGGCGGGAAGAAGGGGCGTCCCCCTCAGCCAATCGGCACCGCCCTCATTAGACTCGACCCATCCCTCAAGCAGGAAACGGGCGGAGACACGAGCAGCGCGGCCGCGGCGGGCAACGGGCGAGCGGGGGGACGGGCCGCGGCTCTCCGTCCGCCGCGGCATCCACGCGGCTGCCCGGTGCGAGGGAGCGCTCCCGCAACCGGTGCCCCTCCTCTGGACAGCCCCCAGGGACCGACGGGAATTGTAGTCCCGGCCCCGGCGCAGCCCGGCCCGCGCAAGCCCACGCAAGCCCACGCAGACTACTACTCCCGGCATGCCTCGCGGCCCGCCGGCCAATCGCGGCGCGCTTTGTTGCGAGGGTGCGGCACGCGCGGAGGCCCCGTCCAAGATGGCGGACGACAGTGAGACAGCAGTGAGGCGGCCACCGGCGAGGCCTTCGCGGCCGGCGGCGGAGGAGAACGACCACGAGCATTGCAGCGACTGCGAGAACGAGGCGGAGCATGGCTCTAACCGGGGGTGAGCGGCGGCCGGGACCGCGTGCAACGGCGGCGGCCGGGCCCATTGAGGCGAGGAACGGCCGGGAAGTGAGAGGCGCCCCGCCCCTCGCGTGCGCTGATTGGTCGGTGGGCAGCATCCCGGGCAGCGATTGGCCGAGGCGGCGGTCAGTCTGGCGGGGGGCGGCGCCGCTGCCCATTCACGCCGGGCCGGGGTCGGGCGCGGTGCCCGCGGGCCGGGATGCGGCCGGGAGCGCCTTTTTGGGGCAGAAATGAGCCCAGTTAGCAGCTCTTCCTTAGGGTGTGTCTCCCCGCATTCCCTCAGCCCACTCGTGTCACCATCCCCGCGGTGACACGCAGGGCGGTGGCGCGGTTCCGTGCGTGGTGCTGCTCTCCGGAGCGTGTGGCATCGCCGTGCCCTGGAATTATCCCGCCTTTCTGCACACTCATCCCGTCGTTAGCCTAAACACAGCCCAGGCTTTTGCGGAGCTCTGCCTACATTGTCTCCTTGGAGGAGCGCAGCCTCCAGGGGTATGGAATGGTGGAATGACAAGACAGGCAGCGAGGCAGGTCCTTATCTCAGCAGGGAAGAGCTGGAATGCTTAACGTAGCACCCTCATTACTCATTGCCTTAATTAATACTGCCTGACCGTGCCTGGGATTTGCGGGAGAGGCTCGGTCCTGGTTCCTGCTGGGAATGGGAACAGCAGCCTGTGGCTTTCCAGAGCGTTCCGAGGGTTTTGCACTTTGTTTTTCCTGCACCTGAGCTTCCCTGGGATCCTCCTGCTCTCCTGGTGCTGCTTCCCCAGCCCTGCAGAGCAGAGACCACGGGTGGGAGAGCCCTTCTCCCTCCACCAGCAGCTTTCCATTGGCAATCCTGCCTGCCCAGGAACCGAAGCGAATAAAAGGTCACTCAAGAAATATCACAGAGGCTTTTTTTATGACAGCACAGCTGCCCATTTATATTTCATTTGCCTCCCGGGTGTGGCACCGTGTCTCAGTTTAATCGGTTTAGCCGAGCTTGGGGAGATTTTTATTTTCTTTCCCTCTGACATGATTAGGTTTGTGGAAGGCAGAGCCGAGCAGAGGAGATGTGGTGCTCAATCACTGCTGCTCCCCAGCCCAGCGGTTCCTCCTGCCCTTTGCCAGGAAAAGGTGTGTTCTGGAGGCCTCCTGGCCATCACTCTGGAGGAGCTGGAATGCTACAAGCACCCTGGGGAATATCCAGGAGGAAATCGTTTGGAAATAACACCAAAAGCGTGGCTGGTGGGCACAGCCACAAGGAGCATGAGGCAGGGAGGCTTTGGAGCTCTCTGGGAAGCCCCCAAAAGCCACCAGGGAGAGACCAAGTGGTGGGAAGGAGGAAGGTTTTCTCTCTGGATGCACAGCCATGAATCCTGTTGATTCCATACCATGCATCCCATTGCAGTGGGGTGTGGGAGTGTTTCCTGTCACGCCACTGACACCATCCCAAAAACAGGGCAAGGGAAGGGCTTTGAGCTGCCAGGGTTTATAGAGCCACACTCAGAGCCCTGCCCGTGCCAGTTTGTGCTGCTGGGAGCCACTGGATATTGGCACTGAGGTTTAAAACATAAAAGTATTCCTTAGTGAAAGCAATACTTCCTTTCCTTTTAAGGACAGGAAGGAGGAATTGAGTTTGCTCAGTCCTGTGTCAGCACGGGGAAGTGACTGCACTGCTCTCTGCTGTGGCTGTCCAAGCTGATTTTCCAAAGAAAATAACCCCACTTGGTTATTTTTCATATTTCCTTTTGCATGGAGGGAGCTTCTGCTGTGTCCCTGGTGGCTGTGGAGGATTTCTTCCCTGGTTCTGGAAAGGCAGGAATGGGCTCAGCCTGGTGGGGTTTGTCACCTCACAGTGACAGCAAGGATGGGAGTGTCCCAGTCCCCTGAAACGGTCCCATTGTTGCTGGATGGGGTGTGAGGGGGCAGAGGGGCTTTTCCAGAGGGGCAGCTGTGGGTTTGGCAGTCCCTGCCAGGAGAAGGTTCCTGGGACAGGCACTGGGATGCAGCTGTGGGTGTAGGGAGCACGCTGGGCTCTGGGGGCTGAGCTCTGCCATCTGGAGATCCCCTAACGAGATCACAGAGATTACAGCCTGATTAGCCCCTGGCACGGCAGAAGGATTTCCCAGCACCTAAATACAGAGCAGGGATCTACTCCTCCTCATCTGACACCTGCAGCTCCCTCCAGCTGGAGTTGTTCCCCCTGTGCCTCCTCCCTCAGGTTTGGGAACACCCTTGGATCCAGGGGTAGATAAGTGGGTGCTGAGCAGCATTTTGTCACTGCATGAGGCTGGTGTTTTCCAGGGGCTGAGCTGGTGGAGCAGAGCCAGTCTGAGCAGGTTGTTGTCTTTAAGTGCTTCCAAAAATCTGTTTTCAAGATCACTCAGGTTACAGGGGCTGTGCTCTGGGCTGTGGCTGGAGCTGGAGCCTTTGCCTTCAACTCAGAGAGGCACCTGGAAATGGGGAAGGAGGGATTGGAGTGCTGAGTTATGGCCATGGTGGTGGGGATGCCTTTCTCAGGAGAAGGGAAAAGTGTTTTCCTTAGCCAGAAAAAACACCTCAGTGATCTCACAGGGAGATGTTTGCACAGTGCAGCCAAGGTGCCTTTGTCCTGCTACTTCATCTGGGAGGGAGAAGGCCTGGAGTGCAGCTGGGAAGGCTCTTGGATGTGAGCTGGGCTGGCAGCTCCCCCTTCCTGGGGATGAAACTGCTCCAGCCCTTTTGGCTGCCTGGGTCAGGCCAGCTGCAGTAGCTGAGATTTTGGATGGTGGTGGCTTGTCCCAGGACACTGGTGAGGCATTGTCATTGATTTGGGGAGTATCTGAGGGGTGCAGCTACCCTGGGGAAAGAAGATATTTGCTTTCCTAAATAGATTTAAAATAGAAAATGCCTGTAATTGTTGCTTCTCTGGGTGTAGTGAGTGGAACCTTCCAGTTTTCCAGCTTTTTCCCACATGCTGATGACTCCTCTGCCAGGTTGGTTTTCATCTCTGGCTGGAGCAGGGCCCTTCCCCAGGCCATGCCACCTGGAATGCAAAACCTCATCCCACCTTCTGCCACCCTGATTTCTTCCAGGTCAGGACAGCTTTGCTCATAAATCAGGGAGGAATTTTCTCACCTGTGAGCTCTGCGTGGTTGGGCTGAGCTCATTAGCACCAAGCTGGGAGTTGGCAGCTCTGATTTATGAAGCAAAGCAACGCTGACAGAGAATGAGGGGAGCATTTTGTCTGTCACAACTGACACCTGCAGCATCCCAATGTGCAGGTGAGCTGTGTCCTTCCCCTTTGGAAGGGGCAACTTCCAGCGTCAGCCCTTGGGATGTGCTCAAGAATTCTCCTGCTGCTGTCAGTTTGTGCTGTTAAATTGATAGGAAACAGTTTGGATGTGTTTTTTGCAGCTCCAAGGTGGTTTTGCTCATCCCAGGACTTCAGTGTGGCCACGATTTGCCTGTGCTCCTCCCCAGAGAGTTAAAAAAGCCATCACACATTTGTCACTAAAATCAATAGTGGTGTCAGCAGCGCTGCTGCTGCTGTCATGTCCAAGCAGCATCTCCCAGGTGGAGGCAAAGCCCTTTCCTGGCAGTGGGAGGGAGGGTGAGACTCCCACCAGGGATGCTGCTCCTTGTGTTTGGTAAAGACATTAAATTGCTCCAGAGGTGAGCAGTGCTTTTGTGGGGGGATGCAGGTAAGATCTGAGGGATTGTCCCTGCTGTGAGAGTTGTTTTGGGGTGCAAGGAAGGGGACACCTGTGCTGCAGAGTACAAATGCACTGGGACAGGACAGAACTGAGCCATATGCTGGCAGCTGGCAGAGCTCTCCTGGCTGTGTCCCTCCCTTTTCCCTCTCATCCCTCTGCTCAGACCTGCTCCAGCCTCTCAGGACTGGATTTCCCCCTGAACCCTGCCTCAGGGAGGGGTTTCACACCAGCAGCTCTTTGGGGATGCTCATGATCTGGATGTCCAGGGCTGCCCTGCAGCTGTGGAAGGAGGAGCTGTGCCCTGCTCTAGGCACTTCCAGAGATTTGCTCCTCACTCTCAGTTTTCCAGCTCCAACAATATCATAATTTTCCAATAAACAGCCTCATTTCCCTAGAGGATCACCTCTGCAGGTGGGGTGGTACTTGGCACAGTGTCCTTGGCCAGTGACCTCTCTGTGGTGCCTTATCCTTGTGGCTGGACCCGTGTTTTCTGTTCCACATCTATCCTTGGGCTTGGAAAAGAGAAAAAAGCCAAAGCTGAGCATCCCACCACTCCACAGGGTGAATTTGGGCAGGGGTGGCAGAGCAGGGATGTAGTCACCTGCAGCACAGGCACAGTCCCCACTGCCCAGCACACTTGTGGGGTGGGAGGTGTTAGTGCTGGTCCCTTTTTGGGAGTTCTGTGCTGTGGGGTGGGTGCTTGGCTGCACCCTCTGTGCACGGAGTATTCTCCTTCCTGGAGACTTGGACTCAGCAGGAGCCTGCATTTTCTTTAGAGTGCCTCAGAAACCAAACAAATGTTCTCTCAAAAGAAAACCCCAAGGCTCCAATGATGTTTCTTTTGTTCCCCAGGGGCCTGAGTCCAGCAAATGACAGCGGAGCCAAAAAGAAGAAAAAGAAACCCAAACGGAAGAAAGAGAAAGGAGGAGGAGACCAGCCTGACCAGGCTCAGGACCAGCCAGTGAAGGTGACCAGCCCCTTCCTGGAATCCTGGCCCCCCACAACAGCCAGCCCCATCCCAAACCTCTCCACTGTTACTTAGGCTGCAGAAAGAGTTCCCAGCCCTGGTTTTAGGCACTTGGTTGCTCAGAAAACTTCAGCTTTAGAGTGATTGCCCAGCCTGGCTCTGTGTGTGGGAGTTCCTGTTGGTGCAGAAGGTGTTTGCAGAGCACTCCAGGGATAATGCAGTCCTTGGCTGGATATCCCAGCCAGTTTGGGGTCACACTAGCACCTCCAGGTTCCTCTTCCCAGACACCAGCTGCCTGTCACAGGCAGGAGCTGCCAGCTCTGAGTCCTGCCTGCAGCAGCACGGGGGTGACATCTGCTGGTGTTGATTTTTTGCTGGATGGTCACAAGAACAGCAGCTGGGGAGAGCAGGGCCTGTCTTATCCCTCTGGGCTTTGCCTGATCCTGTCCAGCAGCCAGTGATTCAGGAGGCAGCATGGGACACACAGGGTTTGACCCTCCTGGTCCTCTTGTCCCCTCTGGTCCTGTGGCAGAGGACACACTTCAGCAGAGGCTGTTTTCTGTCTGATGCCCAGTTCCTGTCCAAACATTTGGAATATTTTGTCCATCTGACATGGCAGAGCTTTAAAGTGGAGCTTTGTGTTTTTCAAACTAAATTCCTCAGGGATCAGAGAGGAGCTGGGGTTTGGAATTCAGTGCAGAGCCATCCACCCTGAGGAAGAGGAGGATGAAAGTAGCTTTCATCTTGACTCAAGCTCTCTGCCTTGCCCAGTCCCTGGTGTCCAGGGACTCCTCTGGAAGCTGCAGTTTGTGGATACAGGTCCAGCTTAGAGGGAGGAGGCTGAATAGTGAGAGAAAAGCCACTGAAAGAATCTCAAGTGCTGGGTGTGGGTTGATCCATCTGTCTGTGCAGGATGTCAAGTGGGGAGGTTTGCTCCTGGGGCTCACAGCACCCACTTAACTGAAGCTTAAAGCATTTTCAAGAAAATTCTTCCATCCCCTTTGCCCTAGGAGTGCCTAGAAACCAGATCTAGGTGAGGTGGCTGGTGAAAGTGTTCATGCATCCTGTCAAGGATTGAGGATGGGGAGGGAGGTTCCTGCCTGCTCTCCCTTTCCATGAGAGGATCAGCTCCAGATTCCCCTGGTGAGGAGCCCACATACAGACCTGGTGGCTCAGCTTACTCATTTTGTCTTTCCACACTCCTTCTGTGCCCTCAGGTGAACTCTTTACCTGCTGAGAGGATCCAGGAGATTCAAAAAGCCATTGAGCTCTTCTCTGTAGGTCAGGGCCCTGCCAAAACCATGGAGGAAGCCAGCAAGAGGAGCTACCAGTTCTGGGACACACAGCCAGTGCCCAAGCTAGGTATGTGTAGCCCCTTGGTGACCTGTGGGCCCTGGGGGAGGCCTTGGTGACCTGTGGGCCTCTGAGAAAGCTCTCAGAGAAGCCTGGGGATGCTGATCTGTGGCCTTCAGGTGGGTCCCTGCCTGGCCTGGGATTCAAAGGCACCAAAACCACTTCTCCATCATTCAGCAGCGTGGGCTAGGTGGATGGGGAGGGTCTGAAGAGCTGTGCAAGCACTCCAGGGGGTACAGAGAGGCTCTTCAGTATCTCCCTTCATGGGTTTGTGTCCCTTTTGCTGCAGATGCACCGTTTGATTCTCATTCCAGGTTGTCCACAGCACTGTGAGGCCTTTTTGGGTCTCAAAAACTTTCCTGGGAGCAACAATCTCAGCTTTAAGTTGGGAAAATCACAGTGAGATGGCAGGTGGTCGTGTGAGACAGCAGAGTCTTGCTTTTACCCTTTTTTCCAAGGATACTAGGCATGGGAAACATAATTTCTGCTTGGGAAAACCCTGGGGAAAGGGTGGAAGGTATCTCCTGGGGAGTGGGAGGCACAAAGCAGCTCGTTCCTCCCTGGTGGCTGTGCCCTGACTGTGTCCCAGTGCTCCTCATGGTTCTGGCACATGGCACTATGGGCATGGGGCTATTTAGGGCTGGATAACAGAAGTGCTGTGGGATTTTGGGGCCAGATCTCAAAACAGTTCAGCACCTGCTCAAAACAGAGAGGGCAGCCAGGGGTGAGCGTTTCTGGAAGCTGCCTGGGGTGGGTGTGATGGGAGAAGTTCTTGCTCCGGGCTTTCATCACCTCCCCATTGCTTGGAAACCTTTTCAATGCCTTTTTAAGGGAATTCCTAATTAGCACAACTCGCTTTTCTTGGCAGCACTGAAGTGATGCTGCTGGACTGACATCCCCGAGACAGCCAGAGCTCGAGCTGACATCTCCTGGCTGAATCAGGGCCTTTGGGAGTCCGTGGTTTTACAACAAAAGTTGTGTTGTTCACTGCAGCTCTTCTTTAGGCACAGTGGGCAGGAAACCTTGACTCTTGCCAAGTGGCAGTGGCCAGAGCTGGCAGGACATCACTGTCCCATGGAAGTACTGGCCCAGGCTGGGGTTGTGGGGATGGGGAAGGATCAGGCATCACCTATGGAGCTGGAAGATGCAGCCGTGGCTGAGTTTGGTCACCTGATGGGCTCCACCCTTGCCCTGGAAGTTTTGATTCCCTGCCCATTGTCACATCCCAAAATAGGTGTGTTAAAGGATTAAAGGCCAATCCCTGTCTGCCACTGCAGGGGTGGGAGACATGAGGTATGTTGGACATCAGATTGAGGTGTTGTGGAGGCTTGGCCTCACACAGCAGAGAACTTCTTCATGCTCCCTGCTCTGTCTTTCAGGAGAAGTGGTGAACACCCACGGCCCGGTGGAGCCGGACAAGGACAATATCCGCCAGGAGCCCTACACCCTGCCCCAGGGCTTCACCTGGGACGCCCTGGACCTGGGGGATAGAGGTGTGGTGAGTACAGGCAGCTCAGCACACTCGTGTTGGAGTGTCTTGGTTGGCAGTTCAGTGCTTGGGCTGTTGGAGGTGGTTTTGGGGATGGAAACGTGTCCTTCACCACAGCAGGGGACACTGTGGCTGTGTCACACCTTGGGCTTGGGTGTGCCTGACCCCACTGCAGTTCCTTTTACCCATCCCACACTGGGGTGCTTGGCCTGGTTTTTTCAAGGGGACGTAAGGATGCCTGTAGCCTGGAGTTCTCCTGTGGGAGCCCCCTTTAGAGCATGACCCACCTCCCTGGGAGATGGCACAGCGCTTCCCTGTGTCCTGCTCCCCCTGCTCTGTGTGGCACCGGAGCAGGGGGATGGCTGCACATGCTGCCCCGGTGCTGTGGCCACACATTGAGTGCTCAGGGTCCTGACTGGGGGCAGTGGATGGCTGAGTAACCTCCTTAACCTGCTCTGTGCTGCTGCAGCTGAAGGAGCTCTACACGCTGCTCAACGAGAACTACGTGGAGGACGATGACAACATGTTCCGCTTCGATTACTCGCCCGAGTTCCTGCTGTGGTGAGTGGCACCAGGAGTGCAGAGCAGGGGCTGTGGGGTGCTGACAAGCCTGATCCCCGTGACAGGGCTGCAGCTGCCTTTGCTTATCCCATCTCTCTTCTTCCTGAGTTGTCTCTTCCCCATCTGTCACTGTGTATGGTGTCCCAGGGACATGGTGAGAGGGGCTGTCACCCAGCCCTGCCTGCCCCTGGCTGCTTTGAGATAAGGGAGCTTAAAAGTGGACTTTTCTCCTCTTTGGTTTGATCCCTCAAGTGTTTGTGAAAACCCCAGAAGCTGAGGGACTCCTCAGTGCCCTGCAGCTGTGGGATGAAGGCAGCTGCCAGCAGTTACCCTTGGAGTCCTGTTGCAGCAGAGCTGCTGTTTCCTCAGGGTGTTTCTGAATCGAGGAACAGAGGTTTCCTCCTGTGTCCCTAGTGAGGACTGGCTGTGGGGTGCAGGAATTGCCCTGCATCCCAGCAGTCCTTGTCACATCACTGTCACTCTCTCATCCTCTTGCCAGCCAGCAGGACTCGGGGTGTCCCAGGGCAGGTGGGAGGTACAGGAGCAGGTACACCAGGGACCTTGGGTGGGAGGTGACTGCTGAGGTGTGTCCCCTCCCCAGGGCACTGCGTCCTCCAGGCTGGCTGCCCCAGTGGCACTGTGGGGTCCGGGTGGTCTCCAGCAAGAAGCTGGTGGGATTTATCAGCGCGATTCCAGCCACCATCCACATCTATGACACGTGAGTGCTGCTGCATTTCTCATCCTGCCCTTGCTGACACCTGGGGCTTTGGGAGTGCTCAGGGAGTCTGTCTCCATTGTCTTCCCCAGCACACAGCCAGACCTGCACCCTTCAGCTTTGGAGGTGTTTTGCTGCTTGGAGGGGAGGGCGGGGGATATTTAAGGGTTGGCAGGGACATCTTGTAGTTAACCACTGTGGAGGTTGCTTTCCTCAACGAGGTGGGTTAATTTACAGAAGTTATGGGCTTACAGAAATCATTCAGGGCTAGGTGGAGATGTAGAATTACAGAATAACCTGAGCTGAAGGGGACCTCCAAGGATCATCCAGTCCAGATCCTAGCCCTGCACAGGGCAGCCCTGTGCCTGAGAGCATTGTCCAAACTCTCCTGGAGCTCTGGCAGCCCTGGGGCTGTGACCATTCCTTGGGCAGGAGATTCCCTGGGCAGTGCTCAGCCACCCTCTGGAGCAAGAACCTTTGCCTAATATGCAACCTGACCCTCCCCTCACAGATTCAGACCATTTTGCTTGGGAATCCGTGGGTAACAGCTTAAGGGAGGGCTCTCCAAAACCAGCCCCTGCCCCTTCCCTGAGGCATTGACTCCTCATTCCCTTGAAGGGGCTTGGAGTTAGATTGCCCAGGGCGTTGGTCTGATCCTCCCAGGTCAGGACAGTCAAGGCTCATGCTCTGCATTGTTTCTTCCCCAAGAGAGAAGAAGATGGTGGAGATAAACTTCCTGTGTGTCCACAAAAAGCTGCGCTCCAAACGGGTGGCCCCGGTTCTGATCCGTGAGATCACGCGGAGGGTGCATCTGGAGGGAATCTTCCAGGCTGTTTACACTGCGGGAGTGGTGCTGCCAAAGCCTGTGGGGACTTGCAGGTGAGTGTTTGTGGCTCTCCCAAGATTTCTGTCTGCAGACCTTCCCTTCCCATGGTCCCCTCTGTGGCCAGTGTGGGGTTCCCCAGGAGAGGGGAGAGTCATCCCAGTCCAGGTTTCTCCTCCCACGCTGTCCTTCCAGGAATAAGCTTTGCTAAAGCTGCTCATGTAACACAGGAGAGGAGGCTTTGGCAGCACAAGCATTCAGAACCGTGTTTCTCTCTGTGGGGAGCTGCTGGCCTGATGTTCTCACTTGCCCCAGAGCGAGTCTCCCACTGCCAGTGTGTTTCTGCAGGTATTGGCACCGCTCCCTGAATCCTCGGAAGCTCATCGAGGTCAAGTTTTCCCACCTGAGCAGGAACATGACTATGCAACGGACCACCAAGCTGTACAGGCTGCCTGAGGTGGGTGCAGCCAGGAGCAGAGCTCGGGGCTCCTTGCTGGGCGAGGGGAGAGACACAGACGAGGTGGAGGTCAAGTCCTCTGCCTGGAGACCCAGGGTTTGATCCGTGTAGTAAATGACTCTGTCAAACAGTCGTGCTTTATTTAATCTTTATGTATTTTTGCCTGGTTACCTGCATTTTAAGGGCAAATTCTTGCAGTCAGAGGACCCTGTGAGCTTTTGTTTGCTGGTGAGTCATAGCCTGTCGTCCTGGTAAAACGAGCAGGCAGATGTGACAGGCTTCATCTGTCCAAACACAGCCTCGGTGTGACCTTGGATCGAGTTAGTCCCTCATTCTTCAGTCACACTGATCAGTTCTGGCACTGCAGTTGTCCTGCTGGGGAAGTTCCCCAGCTGGAGATGGAAGAGAAAGAAGCAAACTGCATTAAAATTGCCACCACCTTCCCTGACCTTGTTGGCTCCTTTCTGTCAGCCAGAGCTTCCCCTTTGGGGTGGAAAGTGCTGCTTTCACGCTGGGCAGCTCCCAGCCCCTGCCTCCCACAGCCACACAGACAGCAGTTGCTGGGCTGGAGCTACTGGTTTTTGCACAGAAACTCAGCCCCAGAGCAGATCTGGGCTTGCTGAGCCATCCCAGCCCTGAATTAGTAATTGAGGCCAACTGGGAATAACGTCTTGTGGAGCCTGGGACATGTCTCCCAGCCTGTGCCTGCTGTGAGTGGGAACAGGAAGCTTGAGGGAAGCAGAGTTGGTGTTGTTAGTGGGTAGGAGCACTGCCAGTGGGACCTGACCTGGCCCTTGTGCTCTCTTTGATCTTTGCCATCAGTGTCACAGCTGATCACATCCATCCTCTGCTGGGCACGCAGGGCTGGGGGGCTGAAAATGGGCTGATGTAAGCAGAGAGTGTCTCTGTGCTGCTCACTGGAGAGCCCTTGGGTGATGAAAACCTCTGTGCAAGCAATGACACAACTTGTCCCACTTTCTGCAGACTCCCAAGACTCCTGGCCTGCGGCCCATGGAGCACAAGGACATCCCTGCTGTGCACAAGCTCTTGACTGAGTACCTGAAGCAGTTCCACCTGACACCCGTGATGAGCAGAGAGGAGGTGGAGCACTGGTTCGTACCTCAGGAGAACATCATCGACACCTTCGTGGTAGAGGTGAGGGGCAGGAGCAGGATGGGAGGGGTGTTTTCCTGGGCCTTTGCCTCTGCTGGAGCTGTGGGAGTGATCAGAGGGAGGAGCTCCATGCCCCTCCAGGACGGGAATGTGCTGGAGGATGGTGCCTCGAGTCTCCCCGCAGCCATCCCTGCAACGGGGAGAGCCCCTCTAAGGCTCTGCCCAGGCTTTGTCCCAGCCTGAGCTGTCGTGATGTCACTTCCAGAGTGCCCCGGGAGAGGTGACAGACTTCCTGAGCTTCTACACCCTGCCCTCCACCATCATGAACCACCCGACCCACAAGAGCCTGAAAGCTGCTTATTCCTTCTACAACGTCCACACCAAGACGCCTCTCATCGACCTCATGAGCGACGCGCTCATCCTCGCCAAGTCGGTGAGTGCTGCACAAAGCCCTTTTCTGACCCACAGATGGGCCAACTGAGAGGTGTTTTAAAAGCTTTTATGCCATTTTCTGTCTCATGTGAAGGGTGAGATGTTCTAATTCACGCCATCACAATCAGAAGCCAACTATTCCCTAATTACAATGCACTCTGAGTGTTCCTTGTTGTCGGAACTCAAAATGTCCCTCAGATATTTTCAGAGGTTCCAGGCCTTGATCAAAAGCATTTTAGACCCTGGCAAGCAGCTGAAAACAGCTGTGATCTTGAGTTTGAACCATGGAATGAATTACCAACTTTGAAGGTGGAACAAGCAGTCACAGAGGGTTAGATGGTATAGTAAAAGTAGTCACAAATTAGAGGGAAAAATTTTTTAGTATTGTACAAGGGGGTTTTAGTACCTGTACAGGGGGGTTTTACTTTGTACATGGGGGTCAGGAGTTCTAAGATGGAGGAAAGTGGGCCTGATCCTGTTCTTCCTCCTTCTTCTTCCTTACCTCCATGTTCTTGGTGATGTTGGCATTTTTCTGTTGGTTTAGGCTGGGGACACACTGTTCAACGTAGATGATAGATATTGGCACATTATTGTAAATATAGTACAATCTCGGAATCACCAGTACCCACAGATTCCGACACCTTGTCTATCAGCTTTTGCCACCCCATGCTGTAAATGCCTTAAAGTCAATCATCTAAAATTACCCCTTGTGGGTTCTACTATGGGAGCCTTCTGTCAGGCTTTGAGAATTGTCTACAAATCCATTTCCCACAGGTGAGGGATGCAGGGATGGGCTGGCACTGTGGGACACTGGGCAGCTCACAGGAACTCATCAGGAAACTCATTGGGCAGCTCACTGCAGGCTGGCTACCCTTGGGTTTGTGGGAAGGACTTGTTCCCAGGAGCTATAGAAATCAAAATCCAAAAGGATCTGCCACCCAGGAGAGTGATGCTGGGGTACCTTGACCCTTCCAGCTTGTGGTGGTTCCTCATGTCCTACAGCAAACAGTCCTGTAGTAGTTGGATTGAGGATGAGGACACCAAGGGTGAGCTCTTTTCCTTTTCTGGATTCAAAGCTAGGCAGGAAACGGGGCCAGGTTGCTCACAGGTGGGAGAAACTCCCCAGCACAAAAGCAGGGACTGATGGCTTCATATCTCCCTGTGCAGAAAGGATTTGACGTCTTCAATGCACTGGATCTCATGGAAAACAAAACCTTCCTGGAGAAGCTGAAGTTTGGGATCGGGGATGGGAACCTGCAGTATTACCTGTACAATTGGAAGTGTCCCAGCATGGCACCAGAGAAGGTCAGTGCTGTGAGGAGGGGCCTTGTCCCCACAGCCCTGGGGTGTGCTGTCACCCACACGTCACTGGTGTCCTTGCAGTGTCACCCGGGTGATGGGCGAATCCCTCTGCCATCTCCCGTGTCTGCAGAGCGTGTCCCTGGGGAAAACCCCTCCACACTCGTCTTCCAAAGATAATTTTATTCCTGGGGGTCCCAGGATGTCATTTGTCCCCAGGGCCAGCAGCCTGTTCCCCACTGGCTGTGCTGCAGCCCCATCTGCCTGCCTGGGCCGTTCTGGTTGCTGCTGTCCCTCCACACCAGAGCTGTGGTTCAGCACCTGCCCAGTCCACAGCCACCTTGCAGAGGAGAGCCAGAATCTGCCCAGCTACATCACAGCTAATTAATGCCCTGACAGCTAATTAATAGCTTGATGGCAGTCACAGGGCTTTGGTTCCTTGGTGTGAAGCCAGATCTGTCTCTAAGCACAAGCCCTGTTGCCCTACCAGCCTCACTTGCCTGCTGAGCCTCCTAGGAAGCCCCAGGAGGTTCCCAGGAGGTGTCAGCAATTCCTTCTTTTGCTGGGAGAGCTGGGAGAGGGGAGAGCCTGATGCTGGGAATGTTTCCTGTGGAGGGGCTGCCCCTGGGTCCACTGGGTCAGGGTACATGACAGGCCAGCAGCACATCCTGGAGGGTCCCCAGCAGTGCCAGCTGCCTGCAGAGACATGTCCAGGGACCAGGCTCTTGGGAAGCAGCTTCTCCCATGTCACAGAATCATGAAATTATTTGAGTTGGAAGGGACCTTATGAGCACCTTATTCCAGCCCTGCCATGGCAGGGGCACCTCCCACTGTCCCAGGCTGCTCCAAGCCCCATCCAGCCTGGCCTTGGGCACTGCCAGGGCTCCAGGGGCAGCCACAGCTGCTCTGGGCACCCTGTTCTAGAGCCCCAGCCTCACAAGGATGAATTCCTTCCCAATGTCGTATCTATCCCTGCCCTCTGGCAGCAGGAAGCCATTCCCCCTTGTCCTGTCGCTCCAGGCCCTCGTCCAAAGTCCCTCTTGGTGGCCCTTTTGGCCCTGGAAGGGGCTCTGAGGCCTCCCTGCAGCCATCTCCAGCTTGTAGCAGAGGTGTTCCATCCCTCTCTACTCATCATGAGCTGGGAAACATCCCTGGCTCATGAATCGAGGCTGTCTCGTAACCTGGTGGGGCTTGTCACACCCCAAACATTGGTCACCTCCCCAGATCAGAGCTGGGCAGGGCCCGTGTGCCCGTTCAGCCCCAAACCCAGGGCTTGCTGCTCCCAAATACCCCAAAACCAGCGGGGAGACCGACACAGACAGCACTGAGCCCTCCCAGTGCGTCCTGACGTGGCTGCAGCGGAGCAGAGGCCACGTCCTGACCCCGATTTCCATTGCTCCCAGGTTGGATTGGTGCTGCAGTAAGGGAGCCCTTGCCAGGAGAGCGTGGAGGAGCCGGGTCTGTGGAGGTGCTGCCCTCATCCTTTCTGCCAAAGCTGGACCCACGCCGGGAGAGGGGCACCGGAGCCGCCCCCGCTGCTGTCAGCACCTCCTCGTTCCATTTAACTGCATCTCCTAAAGACATGATGGAGGGAATGTAACTGCTGAAACTAGATCATGATTGGCATATAATGGATTTCACGGGTGAATAATAAAAGTATATATTATATATATTTTAAATCTTTCCTGTTCCCAACTGCCATGAGTTACATTCGGCTGCTGAAGGTCACCGCTGGGCTGCTGGACTGGGACTTTTCTCCGTGGGGACAACTGAGGTTGATGCTGTGGCAACGTGGTGGCTGCTGGGCAAACCCTCCTTCAGGCTCTATCCTGCTCAGCTCTTTGCCCCCTCTGTTACACAGGGAAGCACGTCAGGATTCCTTTCCAAGGGCTATTTGTGCAAGTGATGCCTTGTCCCACCTCCTGCCCAGCCACGGAGACTCCAACCCTTCCTGCTGGACGCTCGGGCTCCTGGGGCTGCTTCCCCTCAGCCTCCCCCGTGGGGCTGTGGGCACCGGGGATGCTCCACTGCCACTGCCACACCTCCAGCCTCTCTGCTCAGCTGCTTTTCTCTGGAAGCGTGGAAATCTGGATACTCCATCGGCATCGCCCCAGGGGCCTCAGCCTCCCCGGTGCCTCCACCACCACCCCCCAGTGTCACCCAGTGTCACCTCGTGCTGTGGGATCCGAGAGAAAGGAAATGTTTTCATGGAAAACTTTCATCCCATCGAGGAGTGCCCGGACAGCTCCTGCCACGTCTGAACCCAGAGCTCCGAGATGCTCCTGCCCAGCCAAAGGTTTCCAAAGCTGCACACCAAGGCCAAGACCCCGTCTATGCACCCTCACGTCTCCCTGTCCTCGCGTGTCCCTGTCACACCCCGTGGCAGCACGGACGCTGAGCGCCTGTGCCCGCCCCAGCCCGGACCTGTGGGGCCTCAGTGGGGACCAGGAGCCCATCACATCCCCCTGCCTGGGGTCCTGTGTCACCTATGCAAGTACCTCTGTGTCCCCTCCTGTGTCCCTGTTGTCCCGAGGTAGGGGAGGCTGGGTGTGGGTGGGGACCCTCCCCCTGTCCCCATGGCAGGTTTGAGGGCTGCTCCAATGAATTCCCCCAGCTTCTATGGGTGCCTGGCAGCTCCCCAGGGCACTGCTGATTTGGGAGTGGGCTCAGCTCTGATCCACCCACAGCGGGCCCCAGAGGGTGACAGGGACACTGGGACAGGCTCTGTTAAAATAAAACCTTTATTTGACTGGCTTGATCCCGGGCTGTAAATCTGTGACTGTCACTGGTGCCAGAGCAGAGGTCGGCAGTGTGTCCCCACCTGAGCACAATGGAGTGTGTGGTGGCAGGGTCCCCTCAGGGACTCCAGCGTGATGATGGCACCATCCTTGCATCCCAAGAGAGGGGCTGGGATCAAGCGTGGCCAAGACTGATGAGATTTGGTGGTTGCTGTCACCCATGTCGCCCCTGTGGGGCTGTGCTGGGCTGTCGTTGGCCCAATCACCCCATCCTGGTTGTCACAGCACCTCTGTCCCCTCAAGCAGACTGGGTGGCACTGGGTGACAGGGAGAGGAGCCCCCACTGCCCCTCTGGGTGCTCCAGCCCTGCTGTCACCACAGAAGGCGAGCGCTGTCCTGGGGCTGTCCCCACCCATGGCAGAGCCTGTTGTCCCCCACATGGAGATGTGCCACCCCCCCATGGGCACCTCGGGGGTCCCTCCTGCAGACCCTCACAGGCTCTTGCATCGAACGTGCACGAAGAGCGTGGCGGGGGACAGGGACGCCCCGTCCCTGGAGAGCAGGTGGATGTGGCGGTACCCTGGGGACACACGGGGGCTCAGCGGGTGCCAGGGGCTGTCCCCATCCCCGCAGGGCAGCGGGGTGGCACCCGCACCCACCTTGGCGCATGCTGGGCAGGGGCAGCGTGAACTGCCCCACGAAGTCGTTGCAGGAGGTGCTGTCGTAGTCCTCCACCACGAAGCGCACCAGGGCCAGCTCGGGCACCCGCACCTGGAACCGCAGCGTCTCCTCCCAGCGCGGGTTGAAACCTGTGGCACCACCGGCGTGGGGCTGGCAGGGGCCACCAGGGCCACCGGGGCCACCAGGGCCACCCCGCGGGACCCCCGGCACTGCCCCTGCCCCGGCTGAGCTGCCCTGCTGCTCTGGGGGTCATACTGGGGCTGTGGTGGGGTGTACTGGGGAATGGGGGTCATACTGGGGCTGTGGTGGGGTGTGCTGGGGAATGGGGGTCATACTGGGGCTGTGGTGGGGTGTACTGGGGAATGGGGGTCATACTGGGGCCACAGTGGGGTGTACTGGGGAATGGGGGTCATACTGGGGCCACAGTGGGGTGTACTGGGGAATGGGGGTCATACTGGGGCCACAGTGGGGTGTACTGGGGAATGGGGGTCATACTGGAGCCATGATGGGGTATACTGGGGAAAAGGGGGCCATACTGGTATTGGACTGGGCTATACTGGGAGAATGGGGGTTGTACAGTGACTGTGGTGGAATATAGTGGAGGGATGGGATCATCCTGGGACTCGGATGGGATATACTGGGGGAATGGAGGTTACACTGGAGCTGGGCTGGACCATACTGGGAGAATGGGGTATACTGGGGGAATGGGAATCATACTGGGGAGAATTGGGTGTACTGGAGGCCGTAAGGGAGCAGCACTGGGAGAACTGGAACATGATGGACTCTGCCACTGGTGAGGGTCTGGCTGTGCTGGGGAGGGGACTGGGGTGTCCTGGGCACTGGGGTGTCCTGGGCATTGGGGTGTCCTGGGCACTGGGGTGTCCTGGGTGGTGTCCTGGGCACTGGGGTGTCCTGGGTGCTGGGGTGTCTGTCCTGGGTGCTGGGGTGTCCTGGGTGCTGGGGTGTCCTGGGCATTGGGGTGTCCTGGGTACTGGGGGTGTCCTGGGCATTGGGGTGTCCTGGGCACTGGGATGTCCTGGGTGCTGGTTCACTGGCAGTGAGTGCTGGGCTGTGGGTACCCAAGGCACTGTCCCTCATGGGCATCAGGGTGCCCTGGGGTGTTCCTGGGGACCAGGTGTCCTGAGGGACCCTGAGTGTCCTGGAGCACCCCTGGGGTTCCCTGGGGTGTCTGCAAGGTGCTCCAAGGGACCAGCAGTCCTTGGGCATTCCTGGGATTTGGGCAGTGACAGGGCTGTGAGAGGTGACAGGTGATGGGATGTGTCCCCACGGTGCCCAGGGTGTCCCCAGGGGCTCTCACCGTTGTTGAGCTTGTGGTGGGTTTGTTGCTTGGCACAATCTGCCGGGACCCCGTGGATCTCCACACGCACGAAGGGATCCACGATGGAGCTGCCCTTGTCCCTGTTCAGCTTGGGCAGCTGCTGGGCTGTGATCACCTGTGGCACAGCACCACGAGGGGCCCAGTGTGGGTGTGGGGTGTCCCCAGGAGAAGGGACGTGGTGGCATTGGCTGGTGGGGACACGGTGAACGCAGGGAGGTGCTGATGCCACTCAGTGGCTGACACCAGCTGGATTTGGGGACAGGGTTGGTGTCACCCAAGAAAAGCGTCATGCATGGCACAGTGAGGAGTGTGGATGGGATGAGAGAAGGGAGAAGGGACATAGGTGGCACACGGCTAGGGACAGAGAAGGGAGCAGATGGCACCAGCCGGGAGCGGGATGGGGTGAAGAGGAGGGAGGTGGTACCACGCAGGAGAAGGAACATGAGGGACATGTGGCTGGGTCCTCAGGAGAAGGGATGTGGGTGGCACTTGGCTGGGACTGAGGACAGAGTGGGGAGGAAGGAGGTGGCTGATGCCATCTCAGAGAAGGGACGTGGCTGGTACCAGCTGGATTTGGGGACAGGTGGCTCCTGGCCAGGTATTAGAATGTCACGGGTGTGACTCAGGAGGGACATGGGTGGCAGCTCGGGGGTGTCCTCACCCTGATGTGCAGAGCCAGGCGCTGGGACCCCTCCCCGGGGGGGCTGCGCAGGCAGAGGGGCTTCAGCACGTAACCGCAGCGGCCGTTGGGCAGGAAGCGCCCGGCGTTCAGGTCCATCTCGTATCCCGGCGTCTGGAAGTTGAGGGCCACTGTGGGGACAGCAGGATGGGCTGTCAGGGGGGTGACAGCGCCAGGGGGGGCTGCCAGGTCGGGGGTCTCACCCAGCTGGCAGCCGGCGTTCCACATCTCCTGGGGGTTGTAGTTGGCGGAGTTCATCTTGAGCCCCAGCGGGTACACGCGGCTGAGCTGGCGGGTGTTGTACCGGATCAGCGCCGGGCCTGGGGGGGACACGGCTCAGCTGCACCCCCCAGTGCTGCTGGGGGCCCAACAGAGGGAGCATGGGACCTTGAACCCAGACCCTGGGGTCAGACCCCAAACCTGGACCTGGACCTTGCACCCCTGACCCCGACCTCTGACCCTTGATCCTGATATCGCCCCCACGCTTTGACTTTAGACCCCAGAGCTTGACCGTGGAACTCAGACCCTGACCCCACATCTTGACCCTGATCCCTGGACCTCAGACTCCAAAGCAAGACCCCCAAGCCTATGCCCTGACCAGATCCCAATCCTTGACTCCAGACACTGAGCCTGGACCCCAGACCCTGAACACTGACTCAGATCTTAACCTCAAATTCTGCCCCTGACCCCCAGACCCTGAACACTGACTCAGACCTTAACCTCAAATTCTGCCCCTGACCCCCAGACCTCAGTGCCTGGACTCTGACCCAGACCTTATTCCCAGCCCCATGCCCTGGACGCAGATGCCACATCCTAAATCCTGATCCCAGACCCTGATCCTGCTCATGTGACCCCAACCCTGGCCTTTGGCCCAGGCAGACCTGCCACCAGACCCCAGTGTCCCCTGTCCAGGGCAGGCTGGGCGAGGCCAGCTGAGCCTGGCCACTCCTGGGGCCCCCCTAGAGACAGAGCCCACCACTCAGGAGTACAGACCCACCCCGTCCCCATCCCTGTCTCTGTCTGGTGGCCCTCACCTGCCTCCTTGATGAGCTTCCGTGCCTTCCTCTCGCTGAAGGAGGACACCTGGCAGGGCTGGGGGTGGCGCAGGGCCCGGGCCAGCCCGGGGAAGGGGACAGCCTGGCAGTACACCACCAGTGCCGACAGCTCTGGGGACACCTGCGACGCGTCCTTGGCCTGCGGGAGCCACCGTGGCATCAGGGACAACCTGGCCCTGGTGGCCACCTGCCAGTCCGAGGGTCTGCAGACCCCTCACCCATTAGTGCAGAGTGCTGAGACCCCCAAGGCCATGGAGACCCCAAGGTGGTGCAGAACCTGAGGCAATGGAATGATGGACCAGGGGCTGATGGGGAGCCCAAGCAGGTTGAGAACTGGAAGTCATGGAGACCCCAAAGTGCTGGAGAACCTGAGGTGATGGGCACCCTGAGATGATGGAATACTTGAGGTGACAGAGACCCCAAAGTGATGCTGACCCCAATGGGTCACTCTGGATGCGATGAAAGCACAACACGATGGAGAACTCGAGGTGCCAAGAAATCAGTGCTGGAAACCCCAGACATGGGCCACCCAGCCCAACAGGAAGAGGGAGGCACAGTTGAGGGGTCCCCAAGCTCTGTCCCCTCTTCCAGGCAGTGACAGCCACCCACTGCCCCCCCAGCTCCAGCCCATCGCCCACCTGCAGAGGTTTGATCTCCTGCAGCGACTGCAGCGACTGAAAGAGGAGAGAGCAGCGCTGCAGAGGCCGTGGCAGAGGTGGCAGTGCCAGGATGCCATGGTCCCCTGGCACCACCAGGATGCTCTGATCCATCAGCACCACAGGGATGCTGTGGTCCTCCAAAACCACATCCCTGGGGAAGTCTCTTACCTTCCGGGGGCTTCTCTCCTGCACCTTCTCCTCCTCTTCTTCCTCCTCCTCCTCTTCCTCCTCTTCGGGGTCCAGCAGGGAGGTGACACCCTGTGACTCCTGCCACAGCTCTGGCAGCTTCTTGCCCTTCACCAGGATCTTTTCCTTCAGCTGCTACAGGAGACAGGTCCGAGCTCAGGGTTTGGAGGGGACACGGGGACACTGCAGCGGGCACACAGGTGGCCTTACCTCTGGTGAGGGGAGATGCTGGGGGTCCTGCCCCTGCAGGGGCTGTGTCAGCAGCCTGTCCCCCAGGATGGCCTTCATGTGCCGGGCCATGGTGGCCTGCTGCTCCAGCCCGCAGTGGTTCTCCAGGGACAGGATGACGGGGTAGGGGGATTTCTGGGCGTGGGGACGTGCAACCCTCAGCACCGGGCACCCCACACCGGGCACGGGGCAC